ACTTTTACATGGACGTTCGTAGCAGCTTTATTTGTAATAACCCCAAACTGGAAATTGCCCAGGTGTCTATCCATAAAATAATGGATTTATTCATGGTATGAACTTCCAAAGCAGGCAAAACTAGTCTATGGTGGCACAAAATCAAGGCAGTGGTTTTCACTGGGGTGTATGTGAAGTGGTTGACTGGGAAGTAGTAGGAGATTACTTTCAGGAGTGATGGTAATATTCTCTATCTTGATAGGGGTTTGGATTACGTAGGTATATGCATCTGTCAAAACTCAACAAGTGTATGTTTAATATTTTTAATATCAACATACATAAATTTTATCTTAAAATTAAAAAAATCTGTGAACAAAAAAATAATTAGTTAATGAATAAACCTGGGCAAGGAACAGTAGGAACAGTAGAAGGAACAGTAGGTCTGAGGTACAGAGATTCAAAGCATAGAATAGGTTCGGAGAACTACAAGGATGTTGCCCAATGGCTAGACAAAGAATCTGGCATTGCTTGTATTTAGAGCTCTCCTCAAGAGAAAATTAGTTTTCATGATCTCCAACATGAAATAAATACTGATAAGTTTGTAACAATTCCAAGGGAAAGATGCAACCCTTCAATGCACAAAAATGCCTTCTGGTGCGTCTAAATAAGCCTCTATCATTCTCTTTGAACTGGTATGGCATTCAGAACTTGAGTACTAGTTCTGTTCTCCATGCCAAGCCCCAGCATCATCTGAGAGGGTTTCCATATCCATTCAGATCTTCTATCCAACTTCCTACTCACTAAGTTTCTTGATTTCCTGGGTACTCAACCACTAGTCTATTATGGCCTCAAATTAGACATGGCCACACATAAAACTATAATAACCCTCAAATCTGTTTTTTTAAATCATCATTTATTTTTATTATTTCTCTTAATGAGCAATATGTGGCTCAAACTCATGACCCTGAGATCAAGAGTTGCATACTCTACTGACTGAGCCAGCCAGGCACCCCAACTCTCATGTCTTAAATACCACTCGAAACCTTCTTAAAAATGGTATCTCCTGAGTTTCTTCATACTTCTCTGATCATGTCTTCCCAGTTCCTTTTGCAGACCTCACTAGATTAGTCTACACCCCAAAGTGTCATTAGCTAAATTATTCTGTCCTCGGCTCTACTTGTCACTATACACATGTTCCCTAAACAATCTCACCCATGCTCATGGCCTCCCCACCATATATGATGATGACTCTCAAATGTCTATTGTTAGCTTAGACCTCTCTCATGAGTTCCATCCTAGTACATCAGCTGTCTAATTAACATTCCTACCTAGATATCCTAGAGGGTCCTTAAATTCACTATCTCAAAGAGAGCTCAATGTCTTTCAGCAAATCCTTTCCCCATTTTTGTGTTCCTCAGCCTGGTAATGGCATCATAACCATGAAAATGAAAGTCATCATTTATTCCTGCATTCCCTTAACTAGCCCTCCACATCAAAGGCTATGTCTTGCCACTTCTACCATCTATGTTTTGGGTGTATAACACAGTTTATTTTTAAACTTTTCTCCAGCTTTATGAAGGCATAAATAACAAAAATTGTATATTTAAGGTGTACAATGTGATGTTTTGATATGCATATACATTGTGAAATGATCATCACAATCCAGCAATGAACTATCCATCACCTCACATAGTTTTATGTGTGTGTGTTTGTGTTGAGAACACTTAAGATCTACTCTCTTGTATGCTGGTGGTTACCAGTTACAGAGGTGGGGGAAATGGGGAGATATAGATCAAAGGATACAAACTTTCAGTTATAAGATGAATAATTTCTGGGGATCTAATGTACAGCATGGTGATTACAGCTCATAACATGGTATTACATACTTGAAAGTTGCCAATAGATCTGAAATGTTTTCACTACGAAAAGTAAATAGTAATTATATGATATGATGAAGGTATTAGCTAACACTATGGTGGTCATCATTTTATAATATATAAGTGTATCAAATCAATATGTTGTAGACCTTAAACTTACACAAAGTTATATGTCAATTATATCTTAATAAAACTGGAAAAATCTACTCTCTTAGCAAATTTCAAGTGTACAATATAGTATTATTAACTAGAGTCACCATGCTGTACATTAGATCTCCAGATCTCTTATTCATCCTGCATAACTGAAACTTTGTACCCTTTGACCAACATCTCCCCTTTTTCCCCACCTTTCAGCCTCTGACAACCACTCTGCTTTTGTAAGTTTTTTTGATTCCACATATAAGTAAGATTGTACAGTATTTGTCATCCTGTGTCTGGCTTATTTCACTAAGGATAATGTCCATCTCTAACATCTTCATCTTCTTCACACCTATTCATTCTCCCTGCAAAATTCCACTCACTTAATTTTTTTTTTTTTTTTTAAAGCAGGCCCCATGCTCAGCATGGAGCCCAGCACAGGGCTTGAACTCATGACCCTGAGATCAAGAGTCAGATGCTTAACTGACTGAGCCACTTAGATGCCCCTCATTTAATTTCTCATCTTGAAACCTGGGGAGTAGAAACATGTGTGGCTCTGTGTGTGTGTGCGCGCGCGCGTATGCGCAGAGTGTCATGGTACTCATCTAGTAACACAGCCATTCTCATTCTTGACTGCACATTAGAATCACCTACGGAACTCACATAATTCTGATTGGATTGGTCTTAAATGGGATCCTGGCATGATATGGGAAGATTCAATGTGCAGCCAAGGATGGCAGTCATTGGTCAACTATTCAATGATCCTTTATCTTCTGCAGAATAAATGTCCCCTTCTCACCTCAACTATATTTCCAAATAAATATCATGCTGCATCAGTCCCTGAAAACTTCTCCACTGGCCTTGTTAAACTACATGCAATGTCCCAACCTTGTGTTTTCATTATTGCTTCCACCCTATCCTCCCTCCTCACCTAGTGAATACTCATCTTTCAATTCTTAGTAAAGTGTTAGCTCTTACAAAGGTTTTCTGATTCCCTCCCTTCTAGAAGTTATCCCTGGCTGGAATGTACCTTTCCCTCTAATATGCTCCACTGCAGTTGTATAGATTTCTATCATAGCAACTAAACTAGTTTATTCACTTGCTTGCTTACATGTCTGTCTCCTCCTTTTTCAACTGTGACATTTTGAGGTCAAACCTCCTGTCTTAGCTATCCTTATGATCCAAGAAACCAGGACATAAAAGCTGGATGATACCAACTAATTCAGTAACTAAAACACCAATTAGCATTGTAAAGATAATCTAATCATTTCCAATGTCCTTCTGTCGTTGGTCCGTAGATAAATTGTCAGTTGATATGTTAAGAAAATGTTCTCTACCTCTTTGCTATTTAATTGTCTTCGGTGACTACAATATTACTGCTTTCCTAGCCCTGAATTTCCAGTTACATGATTCTTCAAACTGACTTCTGAGCCCTGTAGTAGGAAAACAAAAACAGTAGCAGAAAAGCCCCAGTGTTCTGAGGTTGAATCCCCATTCCTCTCCTAAGAACTGTATAGCCACAGGCAAATTCTTTCAATGTTCTGATGTTCAATTTCAACATCTAGAAGTACCATGAGGCTAAAAGCATGTCTACCTTGTTATCACCACAAACTCATTCAGTGCCAGGCACCCCATACAGATTTTAAAATGACAATAATAAGGACTATGTTTAAAATAAGGACTATGTTTAAGAGTTATTAGGAAGAGATCATGTAATTGTATATGTATAGTTCTTAGAACAGGACTCATCATATAAGATATTTAATAAATGGCAACACTCATATTGTATGTTCAGCTCAATTGTTCATTACTCCCATACGGTTAGATGATATATTCACCTATCCCCAAACACAGCCTAACTTGATACAACTCTCTGTCTTTTGGGCCTAGACCCTCCAGCACATGCTGTATTACACATGATTAGTAAACCACATTGCACAGTAGGCACGAAATTTTATTTTATTTTATTTTTTAGATTTTATTTATTTAATTGAGAGAAAGAGTAAGTGAGAGAGAGCGCGCGTGTGCATGAGCAGGGTGAGGGGGAGAGAGAGAAGCAGACTCCCCAATGAGCTGGGAGTCTGGACTTGGGGGCTCGATCCCCAGGACCCTGAGGATCAGGACCTGAGCCCAAGGCAGATGCTTAATGGACTGAGCCACCCAGGCGCCCCAGTACGAAATTTTAGATGTTTACGTTAAACGAAGAAGAAACAGGTTCAACTGGTCACAGATTTAATGCCAATATTGAAAGGTGTAAACATTTTAAATTAACATTTTAAATAAGGTTTCATGTCAAAAGAAAATGTTGATGTGCCTGGCTGTCATTAAATCATTTGTCATAAAACTTTATGTTGCAAAATTTTCCATTTGGATCAATGCAGGTGTAATGTTGGAGGTGTCCTATATTTTCTATTCACTGGTTAGTTTTAAGATGTTGAGATAGAGTATAGATATTTTGAATGCAGTCAAATGTTCAGGCAAAAAGCTTTACTAGAGTACGTTCTTAAACCAGTCTTTGGGGGAATTCAAGGACTCCCAAAGACTCAACTTGCTAAACCCCCAGTGGCCTCCAGGATTTTGCTTTCTTGCTGATAGAAGACAGTGGGCCACAATGAACTTTTAAAACTTTAGGTTTTAAAGAATACTCAAGAATAAGAGAGAGAGAGTGCTTATTTATTCACAGAAGTGCAAGTATACAGATGCAAATTGGACATGTGGATGGAATAGATGACATCTGGAGACTACATTTATTTCTCATTACCAAACTGCCTTGAAACCAAGAAATCACCTATTCTAAAGAATCCTAGAACTATTTGGTGGGAATTGTGTTAGAATTTTTGAAGATATTCAAGGATTTAGGAGTATGAATCATCTTGTAAGTGTCTGTGACTGTCACTGATTGTAAACCTCAAAATATGCTAAGCTGCCAAACATCTTACCCACTGATATGGCATAATTTTAAGAGGATGTGCCTGAACTGAAGGCAAACTGTACTCACTCAAAGGCATCCTTAGAAGATTGGCATTGAGGATACAAATGCCAGGATCAATCTGAATTTCAGATGATTTATAATTGGGGAAATATCTGGGTCCACCTAACTCATTCCCTGTTACAAAAATACTAAAAAGAAATTTGAGAACCTTCATCAGTGATATGAAGCTGAGACAGAATTGATACAAAACTTGAATAAAGAAACCCTGTTATTCTCAACAATGGTTTTATTGTATTTCAAATTAATTTTCTTTTTATTTTACTTTAGTTCCATATAGTTAACATACAGTGTTATGTTAGTTTCAGCTGTATCAAAATAATTCTCTTTGAATTAGTAACAGTTGTTCAGTCTGGCTCTATACCTATTCTATGTGCTTCAGTATAACTATTTTTTTTAAGATTTTATTTATTTATTTGAGAGAGAGAATGAGATAGAGAGCATGAGAGGGGGGAGGGTCAGAGAGAGAGGCAGACTCCCCGCCGAGCAGGGAGCCCGACGCGGGACTCGATCCCGGGACTCCAGGATCATGACCTGAGCCGAAGGCAGTCGCCCAACCAACTGAGCCACCCAGGCTAACTATTTTTCAAATTTTTTGGCACCCCCACAGAATGCCATTACTACTGCTGCTGCTTGGTTTTAGTTAATGGCTTGTAATAGGTACTGCTCCATATATTTTCACCTCCATTATCTCATTAATCCCCACAAGAGAACGTAGAGATGGGTAAAATACCTCAGTTTTTCAAATGATAGTATTGAGGCTCAGAGGATTTAATGGATGCTCAGAGTGACATAGTCAAGACAGAGATATGAACCATCAATTCACATCTATGCACATGCTGCATTTCCCCATTTAGAATGGAGGATGGATGGATGGATGGATGGATGGATGGATGGATGGATGGATCAACTGATCGATCTAAAGTAATGGTGTTTTTGCCATGTGATGGTGTAGTAGGCAAAATAATGGCCACCCAAAGATGTCCATGTCCTAATCCCAGAAACCTGTGAATATGTTGCCTTACATAGCAAAAGGGACTTAGAGATGTGATTAAGGATCTTGAGATGGGGTGATCACAAGGGTCCTTATAAGAGAAAGGAGGAGGCAGGAGAGTCAGAAAAGAAAATGTGATAAAGGAAGCAGAGGTCAGGGTATGATTGCTGGAAGATTCAGGCAACCTCTAGAGGCTGGACAAGACAAGGACATAAATTCTCTCCTGGAGCTCTCAAAAGGAACACAACTCTGCCAACATCTTGATTCTAGCCTAATGAGAGTCATTTTGAACTTCTAACCTTCAGAACTGTAGGATTACAAATTTGTGTTCCAATACCAGTGTTTATGGTAATTTGCTAGAGTGGTAATATGAAACTAATAGAAATAAAATGGAATAAGATGTGTACACAGCAGCCATCTTAAAAAAAAATCTCTCAATCTTAAATCCACAGCAAAAATATCTGGTTTATAAAATTTTTATTGACATCATCCACACTGTCTCCTCTCTCGTGTCCATGATCTTTCTGTCTCTTCTGTTTCTCCATGTCAGATTAACAGAAAACCTTAGGTTGATTGTTCTACAGATACTATACAAATACTAAACAAAAGGGTAACACAAGCTGAAATATAACATCTATAGACTAAATTTAACCTTACTGTTAGCTTTTCCTCCCCAAAAACCCTTACCATCACAATGGTCAACCATTTTCTGCCTAACCCACCTTTGATTATGCATCTATGGGCCTTTGAACAGAAGCATTCCACCGCTGGCAATGCCTCGCACATCCTCTCGGCTTAAATTCTACTGTTTTCAAGGATCTGTGTCGAATTTGAGTCCCACTTTGTCCATCCTATCTTTCCTGAACACCAGAATAGTTCTTTGTGAAATCCTGTTTCTCTCAAATACAATAATATTGACTGATATGCCAAGCACTCCCTTCAATAAAATGTCTACTCTGACATAGATAATTTCTTATTTCAAATATTTGTCTCTTCTCTCCAGTTGGTCTACAGATTCTTTGAGGAAGGCAGGGGGTACTTATATCACACCAAAAGTGTTCCTGCTTCTCATGTTGTGACTCTCTAAACCGCATTTTTCTCAACTGTCAAAATGAGGACCTGTATACAGGTCTCCATGGGGTTCTGTGAGGAATAATAGATATGATGTATGTAGAATTTCTTAGGATAGGCCCAGTAGAGACACTCCATATTTATTAGATTTTTACCTCCTCCCTGTTCATAACAAGTGATTATTGAATATTTGCTGACTTGTCATCATAATATGTTCATCATTCTTACTAGAGTCCATCCAGACTTTTTAGAATAACATGGACCAAAATTATTATTAAAGCCATTTCCTATCCTATTGAATAAATTAAAAAAAATTATGTCACCACAATCCTGCAGGAAAACATGTACCTAGAGAAAAATCTGAAGGCAAATTTTGAACTGTCCTTGGGAGGATTCGGAATCATGCTGTATCTGTTCTACTCCTTATGTAGCAGTTCAATAGTTTTACAGCTCTGGTTTCAAAGAACAGACAGGACACACAGAGGACATCACATCTGACTCTCCAATTTCTAGTTTGGCACATGCCATAGTATACGTTGAAAGAACTTCCTGGCCTTGAGATTAACTGTATTTACCAAATAGTCTCCAAAGCCACCGTATTTCAGACCCAAATTTTCTTATAATTCCCTCCTCTTGACTCCTTATTCTCTACTTGAAGGCGCCCAAATTGGAGCACAACTATAAACATCAAATTTCAAGCAAATCTATCAATGGCAATAGCTCTGTTTTGTTTCCAGGGCCCATCCACACTCTTCATGAAATAAAACTGCTGCTTGGGGGGACCAGGAGAGTGGTTTGAAATAATTTATCCCACTCTTTTTTCCTCTTAGAAATGTAAATGTATCTCAAAAGCCAGACCTGATGTTTATCAATGTGTCTTGCACTGGAATTTGCATGACCAGTCCCAAATTATTACTAAAAAGTTTTTGTGTGCTTTTTAAAAAATCAGGATGCTTTTATTAAACTGGCTGCAAAAAAAAATAATAAATGTGTGGGTTTTGGGGGCAGTATGCTTAGCCCTCCTATTTTACACCATCCAGTGTTCTGGTAGAGATTAGAGATCCTGTTCTCCATGTGGCTCATCCTCTATACACATCTAGTTTAGATGACTAAAGGCATTAGCTTTATTTTTTTTTCTCCTTGAAATGCTCAATACAAAATGCAAATATTATGTTTCCTGGGGTCAGTATATAACCTCTTTGCCCTATCAGTCTCCCTTGTTCTCTCAGTACTGCCAAGGATTCCAGGGACTCTTGAAAGGAATATTAATACAGGCTTAATTGATCAGTAACATAATTAAACCATTAAATGCCAGCACAAGTGTGAGGAATAGACAACCAAACTTTAATAATGAGTTTCCAAAAGGATGTAAGAAAAGTGCTCTCGTGTGTATTGTACATTCTCCTTTCAGTACAAAGAAGTGCTGTAGACAAAAGACCCTCTGATCACTGCCCAGAGAATAATTGGACCACATAGCTCCATGGTGATGAGTTAAGAGTTTAAATTTAAAAATTAAATAAAATAATAATAATAAAATTAAAGAATCATGTTGATGCCAATATGTTAGCCTATCAGGTTTTTCTGACACTTCTGTAAATTACTGTTGAGAGTATTTTGAGATAGATGTTAAATCTGCTCTGTAGGCAGTTTAGGAAAAAAAAAAAAGTCAAATTACTAAAAATACTCCACCCCCCCATACCAAATTTAGGCACTATCGCCATCTTCAATTATCCACAATAGTCACATAACTGACTGATTCACTTCCTTGATTTACATATGTTGAATGAAGTCTATCTGCTTATATATCTCAAATAGTCTGCACTTACCCACATAGGGCCATGTTCCACACCCACACACACACACACAGATTTCAGTGTAGGCTCCCATAAGCCAGACTGAGGAGGTTCATGACTAAATCAGAATTGTAGAAAATGTTAATCAATATTTTCTCAATATTTTAACTCCATATGATTCTTTCCCTTTAACTTTTGGCATCAAAGGAGTTTTGTCTGCCGGCTTGCACCAACATAGCCCACAACATATTGAACACTGAATTACAAAACACAAATGCCCAATTCTACTGCTTCCTGGTAGGTATGTGACGGTGTTAAGCAACAAATGCCATTATTCTGCTCAGGTGCAGAAATCCTCTCTACGTTAGGAGCTGTCAAACTTCCTAACGTCATCACTCGGCTCCGAGTCGGGCCCCAGGGCACCCGCCGAAGTGAATGTGATTGCAGTGGAGAGAGAGTGAGCCCCACCGCTACACGACTGGGCAGACTTTCTGAGGTCAGCAGGAAAGGTTCAGCATTACCTGAGATCTATGAGAATTACAATAGCCGTTCACAGTAACAGCATTTTTTGAATGTTTACCAGGCCCTGTTTGAAACGCCGTCTTGGGCTACGATCCCTCAGAAACAGACTGAGGCCGAAGTTGCATGCAGCAGTCTTACTGGAGAGTCTCTGCTTACCAACTCCTGTGGGGGGCTCAGGGAAACAGGACCGGGCAGCAAGAGAATTCGGGCATAGCAGCTACACAGAGCGGCCACGGCCAACGCCACAGGGAGCTTGGAGGCTGGATGGCCCTTCAGAGGTGACTTGCATGGACGCAGGGGAGCCAGACAAAACTGAACAACTTTTGGCCCTGTGCTGACGCTCAAGATGGGGCACAACCTTGTTCGGTGCAGTTCCTTTCAGGTGAGGACAAGTCCCAAAGAAGGATTCATCTGTGAGCCATCGGCAGCCAACTGCTAGCAGCTGTAAGAGCGAGTGCCTCGGTCCTAAAGCGGTTATCTGTGTGAGAACCCACAGCAGCCCCCTTCTGTGTCTTCTAGGTACTATTTCACCTAATCCTCACCACCATCCCACAGAGCAGATGAGGAAACTGAGACTCAATGAGCTGGGACCTTAGCCCAGTTCAAGCCTTTAGTCCCCACCCTCTGAAGGCAGGGTGTAGCATTCTACTACCCTCAATTAATGTTTGATGAATTTACTTGAGAAGACAAGTGGGGAAGTAACAGATTATTTCAACTTTATAACTTGGGTAAAATTTGGGAAATTCTAGCTTTGGGAAAGGAGTTGAAATCCACTGGTATCACAAAACTTATTTTAAAAATCACAAATCATTGCTTGGTGCTTCAGTTTCCCTGCCAACTAAAGTTCCAACTTGAGTTAAAGCTAGGTATGGGTATGAAGAGGTTCATTATATAATACTTCCTACTTTAATAGAAGTTTAAATGTTTTCAAGTGCTCATTTTTGTTAAAAAAAAAAAAAAAAGTCACAAGAACCAGAGTGGTTTATAGGTGAGTTCTCTATGATATTAAGGGGGGAAAAAAGGTTAATTTTAATGTAATCTAAAGTATTCCAACTGAATAGAAAAAGATGAAAAGCTCTCTAATGCATTTTACGAAGCCAACAAGACTTTAATGCTAAACCTGATAACAACAGTTAAAAGCACAGCCCACCATCACTTATGAATAGACATGAAGCATTCAAAATAAAATATTAGGATATAAAGTCAGAAGACTAGCACATTATTTCCAGGTAGGGCTTATTCTAAACGTAAGGATGGGAAAATTATCTGAAAAAAATATAAAGAGAATCCATTCTATCAAAAAGCAAAGTAGGAAAGCCTCATGATAATAACAATAAATGTTAATCATTTGGTAAAATTCAGAGCCTTATTAATAAAAGTAGCACATAGAACAGGAATAAAGGGAAACTACTAATGGTAGACTTCTTACCAAAAACCACCAACAAATATATACTAAATGATAGTCACTGAAACAAGTGCCCTGATAAATTAGGAAATAAGAACACCTGTCTTTAGGGACGCTACTCTTGCAACATGTATGTGTTAGTTTCCTCGGTTTGCTATAACAAAGTCCCACAAACAACATAAACAGACTTAAAAAAAAACAGAACTGTATTGTCTCACGGTTCTGGTGGCTTGAAGTCTGAAATCAAGGTGTCCGCAGGGCCTCACAAGACCTCCTTGGTCCTAGGGGCTGCTGGCAAACATTGATGTTCCTTGGCTTGTGGGTGGATCACTCCAATTTCTGCCCCCAGCTTCACAGGGCCCCCTCTGTGTGTCTGTGTCCAAATGTTCCTCTTCTTATAAGGACAGAAGTCAATGGAAGAGGGCCCGCCCTAAATGCAGTATGACTTCATCTTATTTTGATTACATCTGCAAAGACAGGTTATGAATTCAATGTATTTTTTACGGGACACAATTCAACCCATAACAATCTATTAAAAGTTAAAATTCCATTCACTTTGGCCCACTTCTGGAAATCTCCCCCACAGAAATAAAAGCCCTTCTTTTATGATTTAGGAGATTTTTTATATATAATAACTTTAATATTATAAAACTATATAACAAACATATATAACATATAAACATGTATAACACTGAAATATATATAAAGTTTAATGCTTATTTTAACATTGAAAACAAACTAAATGACATAAATTGAGGAATTGTTGTATATCCACAATCATGTACTTCATGCAGGGAATAAATATTTTAAAATAATGAATTAGAGTTGGACCAGTCAGCAAGGAAGAGACTCTACAAGGTAAATGATGAGTGAGAAATCCAAGTTGCAGAAAACTTTGGAAAGTACGGTCCTAATTTTTCTAAAACAATAAAACAAAATTCCTATAGTGTGTGTGTGTGTAAAAAATTCACCCTCCAGGGCTAAATAAATATTGAGTTAAAGAACTGCTATACATAGGGATTCCTAAAATGAGCAGACTTGGATGACAAGCAGAGGGGGCAAGCCAAGTAACTCCGCTCCCTTATATAGTATGGTGGAGATGTGCAACATACTACAAAGGGGGGTGAAAAATGGAAAAATAATGAACGTATATCAATGGCAAAACTTTGGGAAAATAGAATTTCTTTAAAATATATCCAATAACACTTTTCACACGTGCTATGTGTGGAGAGTCCTATTTTAAGAAAGTGAAATTATTGTAATCCCTATAATGGAATTTAGTAGAAGAAATTGCCATGGTGTTCTGCAGAGAGCATTGAGACTTCCAGCTGCTCTTCCCTGAATTAGTATGAAAACCTCGGTTCAACAATAGTCCACTCCATATAGGTAAGGTGTGAAGTTAAAAGTGGTCACATATTTTAGGGGGCGGGGGGGGCATAAGATTAATAAGACTACTTAGTTGCAGTATTTTATCAGATGAGAGTAGATAAGGCAAGGGATAGTGTGAGCTGGAAAGAGAAAAAAAGTCTTAAAGCAGAATTGAGAGAATCCAATGGGAATTCTTTGAATATGTGCTTTGGTTAATTTACCCTAACTACCCCCAAGTCTTTGGGTGGGGTATACAAGAAACTAGACTTTTAAGATTTCTATACTTTTTTTGTTTTTCTCTCTCTCTACTGCACTTGAGTTTACCCAGGCAGAAATTGACTGGAGCATTTAAGGCTGAAAGGGTCTTGCACTGGCGAAAGCATCTTTTTGAGAATTAGAACCTAACAATCTACTAAGTATAATACAAACCAATACATTTTTCCCCAAAGCCACAGCACTAGTGAATACTCATGCTGAGTAAGCCTCTTTATTAAGCCCTACAGATACGAAGATGAATATGACATGAAGCACCTTTTAAAGTGTTTCCAGTCATGGAAAAGTACTGTGTGCACAATTAACCACAATTCAAAATAGAGATAGCAAACATATGGTACAAGAGCAAATAATACGTTGGGAGGACAAAAAGGAAATGTAATTCTGTCCAAACTGTGAAACAAACAAACAAAAAACTTAACACACATAGTGAATTCCAATAAATATTCGCCTATAACTCCAGGAAATGCCCAAAATATTAAATGTTACAAAATCTGTTCCTGCTTGTTCCTGTTGCGTTGAACAGCGCAGTCCTGAAAAGTCACAGCACAGGAAAGGTGTAGCTGATCAATGGACAACAGTTTCGAGCACTCCTTTTGTGCAGGAGGTTGTTCTGGGGAGCATACTTTGTGAAGCTGAGAGGGAGGTGTGCATTCTTTTGTACTAAGAATAATGTGGGCAGTGATATCAGATTGTCAGCATTGTGCGAAAGGCAGCTTGGCTTCTCAAGTGGAAAAGAGTCTGCATGCAGGTTAAAACTATGAGAACTGAGTTTTAGTCCTGACGTTTTCCTCGGTTTCAGCCTCATGTGTTTAGACGAATCATTCACCTTCTGTGAATACCAACAGGAATTCGAAACTCATTGAAAATAATAATTCCGTACAACTGGATTATAAAAAGCATCAAAAATATATATAAAAGTGTCTTTATCTGAAGGTAAGATGTCATTATTAAAGTAACTACTATGTGCAAGAGAAGGCTGATACAGCTGTTAAACATAGATATGTTTAGAATGACAGCTTCTGGGGATAAATGGGAGGGCAGGTAATGTGCTTTTCAATCATCCATACAGTAAAGGAACCAGGAAGTAAATCAGACTTTCAGCTCTGTCACAAACTCTGAATGACCTTTAGTGGGTGATAGAGCCAAATCAATTTGAAAATCTCTAACATGAAAGGGATTGGGGAAATAATCTGACACAAAAGGGATGGGGAAATAATCTCTAAATCCATTTCAATTCTCAACTTAAGTAATAATGAACCACTAATTCGATGATGGGTAAATATTTGATGGATGTTATATACTGTGGTTTGGAATAATGAATGTTTGAATCTTAGAAGACAGTAGAATCTGAATTAGAAGACAAGTAATCATGGATTAATAATTCAAAAATAAGAGGCCATCATTTCTTAAAACTTCATCGCAGGAACTTTGGTTTCAGTTCAAACATATGAAGAGCTTAGAAGCCACAATTCCCGTCCTTACAACAAGGAAAAGCTGGACAAGCTGACTAGCAACAACTTTTCATCAACACGTCAGAGAACTGAGACTGCAGGCCAAACTACCATCCCCAAATCTAAAGAGATGGGCTCCTCCAGGAAGACAACTCAGGCATATAATTATCTGGACCAGAAGCCATTTAAGCTGGAAGGTCCAATAAACTAGAAAACTCGATGAACTGCTGGAGGCGGAGTGAGGACTATCACGAGAGTGAGAAGCTCCTGAGAGCCAAAGTCCCAGGGAGGGACCCACACTTTTATAGGTTTTCCCCATGGGAACCCACCAGGCTGTCACAGAATCAAGACTCCTGAGAAAGCTCCCTCCACTACATGGCCCCAGCTGGTGGAGAGGAAGAGGAGTAGCCATTGTGAAAATCCATCTGGACCCTCTCTCTTAGGGAACAAAAGGTTTAATCTCCAAGAGGTCTGACGTTGATAGCTGGCATGAGGGAAATCCCAATCAAGCTGGGGGAAGGGAGCTCCACTCTGCCATAGCCGCCCTGTGTCACTTAAAGAAAAAAACTACAAGGTTCAATGTCCAAGGGAGAGGATCTCAGTTACACAGACTGGGGACACTGGAGGACAAGCAATGTCCTGTGGTAGGGGAAGGATTAGAGGGCATGGGATGAAAAAGTTCTACACCTAAAAAAGGGACAGAAACACAGGCCCATGGTCCATCCTCGAACTAGAATTTAATCAGATGATTAGAGGAAGCCTCCCCTTACCTACACCCCATCCCTACCACAACAATGTCTCCAGGAACAATAATAGTGGATCACAGCTGGGACAACAGAGACACACTCTCTCTGACGAGTAGTACAAAGGGAAGAATCCCTTAAGGCAAAAGGGGAGCTGGAGAGAGAGGACACTGGAGGAATGTGAAACCTCTCGTACCCATAACTACAACAAACATCAAACACAACCCAACTACTGGCCAGATTAAAATAAATCCTCATACTGAAGATCTATTTAACTCAGTATTTAACACACTATACCACATTCCTGGCTTCCAGAAAAATATTGTAAGGCATGCCAAAGGCAAAAACAAACAAAAAACAGTCTGAAGACACAAAGCAATCAGCAAACCAGATTCAGATATGACACCAATGTTGGAATTATCAGAGAATTTAAAATAACTAAGATGAATGTGTTAAGCCTCTCATGAAAAAGGTGGTTATCATGCAAAACCAGATGTCAGCAAAAAGATAGTAACTATGAGAAAGTACCAAGAGGAAATTATAGAAACAAACAAAACTCCCACAGTAACAGAAAAGAAAAATTCCTTCTAGGAATTTTTTTTTTTTAAAGATTTTATTTACTTATTTGACAGAGAAAGAAAGAGAGAGAGAGAGCATAAGCAGGGGGAGTGGGAGAGGGAGAAGCAGGTTTCCGGCCAAGCAGGGAGCCCGATGCGGGGCTCAATCCCAGGACCCCGGGATCATGACCTGAGCCGAAGGCAGACGCTTAACGACTGAGCCACCCAGGCGCCCCTAGGAATTTCTTTGATTAGACTTCGACAAGGCTGAAGATGGAAACAGTGATCTTGAAGACAAGTCAATAAAAATTTTCTAAACTGAAACACAAAGAGGAAAAAATGTGAAAAAAGAAGAGACATCTAAGAATTGTGGGACTATATGAAACAGTGTAACAGATGCAAAACTGGAGGTGATGGTCCCCAGGTCATGATCCCGGGGTCCTGTGATCGAGCTCCTTGCTCAGCAGGGAGCCTGCTTCTCCCTCTGCCTGCCACTCCCCCTCCTTGTGCTCTCTCTAATAAATAAAACCTTAAAAAAATAAATAAATAAAAATAAAACAGATGCAAAATTGCAACATTAGAAGAAGAGAAAATGAAGCAGAATCAACAGCTGAAGTAATAATGGCTGAAAATTTTCTAAAATTACTGACAAACACCAAACTAAAGATCAAAGAGGTTCAGAGAACACCAAAGAGGACATACCACACACATACACTCTCTCTCTCTCTCTCCCCTCTACCATTATGGTATTCAAACTGCAGAAAACTAAAGACAAAGACAAATTTTTTAAAGCAAAGACCAATAAAATTTATAAAACTCTAGCAACAAGGCCAACTGAAGAAAATTAAAAAGAGCAAAGATACAAATACCAATATCTAATAAAAGAAAGGTCATCACTACTGATCCCAGAACATTAAAAGGATAATAAGAAGACACTAAGGATGATAAGAGAATACTATGAACAACACTATGCCCATAAATTCAGTAACTTAGACAAAACAGACCAATTCCTTGAAAGACACAACCAACCAAACTTCATTTAAGGAGAAAAAGAAGGGCACCTGGGTGGCTC